CGGGTGCTCTTCGTTGGTCCATCGATATGGGACGTCCGACTTATTCCTCTACCGGCTTAGCCCTAGTTTAGACGTCTTCATACACGATTGTTTGTCCATCTTATACAAACATTGAGTTTCGTTGGTCTCCATTAGGGGGTCCATCATTCGTAGATGTATCTCTCGATCCGAGGAGCTCTTAAGGCTTCGATATTCAACCGTCGATTTCGAGTCATTAATTGCTAGTAAGTAATTTGCTTCAAACCTTGTTATTTTTTTTTAAATTTAATATATCGTTTCAATAATTATTACATATTTTTTTTGATGTTCGATAGTTTCATACTATGTCGGAGAGATTGCTTAAAAAGGATAACTATGATTTTCAAGAAGCGAGTTGGACATTAGTGGCTCAACGTGGAAGTCCGTTTTAGAGGAGACAAAACATTTCTACTACAATGAGTTTAAGATAATTTGTTACTTATTAATTTATATTTTAGTTAAAATATTAATTTAATATGAAATGAACTAATATTATTTTTTTTTATTCATATAGAAGTCTTTTCACTAGGAACCGACCATCGAGGCACAAGCTAGAGATGCTTGGGAGGCTTTGGCTAGAAAGTGCTACTCGATTTCATCCACAAACATGATACGCATGACCAAATGCCATTTTTTGTTAGGCAAGAGGTGTGGGATTCGTGAAAGAAAGATTTTTCCACACCCGATCATTAGTCACGTTCCGAGCAAGCATTGCATAACCGGATGTCGGAGATTGGTGGTCCTAGTTTGGGACCATCCAAGCATATAGGAGGATCATGTCTCGCTTTTGAGCACACCCATTGCTTGGTAAATCCAATCATATATTATTAAATTTTTAAAAAATTAATATTAGTATTCATATATTATTAAATGTTTTAAAGAATTAATATTAGTATCCATATATTATTTGTGTTAAATTTTTTTAGGTCGTGACATTGGGTCGTTAGCCTACAAATTTAGAGTCGTTTGGAGTCACTCATAAGTAGAGAGATGAAAATTTTATCAATTTATGAGCCTAGTCTATAATGGTAAGTTTAGCTTTATTTTTATATTATAAATATGAAAATATAATCTAACAACTTATTTTAATTTTTTAGTAATGTTATAATTATTTTTATTATGCGGGAACATGTGGAGGAGATGACACAAAAATCTTTAAGGAATCGACGAGATGCTAAAATTATGGAGCCACGGGTCAACAAGGATGCTATATATTTCAATGTTGTAGGAGATCGAAGAAGAATAGGCTTTATAAGAACAAGTTAGAGGCGAGACCAATATTTATTCCAATTAGCTAGCACCAGCCTAGTCCTTTGTAGATCATAGTATCACGGCCTTAATGCTTGCTGAATAGCCTCCACCTTAATAGGATGAGAAGGTACCGGATCAAAATAACATTCGGTAGATGAAGATCTAGGGGATAAATGTTAAGATGGATTCGATTTCATTAACGTTAGAAAGGATGGCGCATCCGACTCCTTTGCCTACCGACCTCTCCACTAACGACGACTACACACTCTCTTCCAACGAGCCCCTCCGTACTATTGTCCCTCCCATCGAGCTTTCGGATGACACGTTTCCTCCTAGCAAGTTTTAGGATTCCACCATCCCTTCTACCGAGACTCGGCAAGATGAGAGGAGATTACATGATATGCGGTGACATTTGCCTTTTTATTACATACTAACGAATATTTTTTAAAATAGAAAGTTTAATTTAATTTATAATATTTTAATTTTAATAAAAAAATTATTTTTTATAATAAGTTGTTTATTTTAATTATGTTACTACCGCAAATATCCAAATTTATGATATTAAAAAAAATTAAATTAAAGAAAAAAATATTTGCAACGAAAATAGCAACGAAATTGAAGTAGAATAGTAGCTCAATACCAACAAACTAACGATGGATTGTGGGACAAAAAATAAAATTCGATAAAAAAAAAAACAATGATGGAGTATGCTTTTGTTGTAAATTATTAGTCGTTTAGTAGCGTAAACTACCACGGAATATTGATGGATATTAGCTTTGGATTCCAATGATAGTGAATTAGTCGTTAGTTAGCATGGATGTCAAGACGGATTGGCAATGGTTCTTAATCTTCTCTTGTTGTTATTTGGTGAGGGATGATATTTATTAGTTATGGAATTTTCTTTACTAATAACGATATACACTTTTAAATCTATTGTAAGGGTTAACGATATTCGTTTTGTCTACGAATTTTTTTCATATCAAATCCATCGCTAATGCTCTAAAGCGACAGATTTGTGACAATTAACGACAGAAAATTTCGTCGCTAATTGGCATATTTTTTGTAGTGAGAACTAATTTTCTAAAAGTCAACTCATACAATAGATTTATCTTCATAAGCTAAGTCACAATTAAAAGATCTTCCAAGCATCGAAGGATGACTTTTTTTGCAAGTATGTTTTATTAATTAAACAAATAATAAGTTAAAGAAACAATATGATGAGTCTGGATTAAAAATCATCAAACTATTAATCTTTATTTGAAAATCACGACCCGATGGATTGTGTTTAATATAATGCAGCCCGAAAAAGATTATCAATCGAACATGTCACCCATGCATGCTTTCATTATGCTTAGAAAAAATTAAAATGACACATATATTACATATCAGTGAATATTTGCGAATAGATACATGACATTAAACAGAACATCATTTTTTATGTAAGCACGCCAAGTTTCTTTTTGTTTACTTTTTTTTTCTTTGAAAGATTAGAATTAATCATACCAATCTAAATAGGTAATGTAAGAACTGTATTTGTCATGATCTGGGTATATATTATGGTTGTATTTCTTTGTTTACCATGCAGGTTTCTCTTTTCAAGAAGCCATGCTCTCCAGGGGATAGAAACATCGAAGGTTAAATTCAGAAATCTTTGCGATGCTGATCTTTTTATTTATTTATTTATTTTTATGTTCAGATTCTAAAAGAGCAAATGACGGTTTAAAGACTGACACTATTGTGCAGGTACCAATGAGCTTTCAACGAAAAATGACATACGAAAAACAGTACAGTTAGATTCTCCACAACTGAACCCCTTCTTTTCTTAGAAATAACCTCCTTTACAATCAATGAACAAATTCAGTTAGGGTTTTAAATGCTAGCTATATATATCAAAGAGAGAAAATGATTTAGACTTCATAGATTACGTCACCGCAAAATATAAAGGGACAATTCCAAAATCATATTACACATTATTAAAATATTGTAATGATGAACAAGAAGAATATGTTTAATTACTCATAGAATCCCTTATTTTATGACAATCATATCTGGGAGTTGAACTAACCGATAACTAAAGATTCCTGCAATTCATATTTTTTGTTTTAACTTTTAATGAAAAAACACATTTCTTTCTGAGATGTCTTGATAAAAGACAAATCGGCCTTGAAAGTTTCTAAAAGTTAAGCCTCTCGTGAGTTGTCCATAGCCTGCGCTGCAATACACGCAAAAATTCACAAGCTGCTGATTGCCAGAGGATTTTGTGTCTTGCACGTGCCTGTGAACATCATTGGCAAAAAGAAGGGGTGATTATCATGACAAGCAAAGTTCAGACATCATTTTAATTTCTCACAGGTTTAAACTAGCCTCCTTAACGAGAAATTAAAACGTGTTGATCTGTATCTTCGTTCTAATGTGGAGAGCTGCAAGACAAGAAAACTCTTTTAGCCTTTAGTGCATTCTAGATGAAACGAACATTAATCGTACAAAAGAAAAGAAAAGAAAAAAAATTCAGTACCAGCAGAGTTTAAATAGATGGCATGTTCAAAATTGTTAATAAGAGCAAAAATGATGGCTTGAGACTACATGATGAGTTAATTTGGCATGTGTTTGGTATCCATTTGATAATTCTGTTTAAGTTAATTAAACTTGCTGTTCCCCTCCGCATATTTTGTAGCTTGTTTCTCTAATTCAAGACTGCTATGAAAGTCTATTTCTGTTCTGTCAGGTCAGCGAAAAAACACTTCTTTCTTTCATCGCCTTGTCTTTTGACGAGGTTTTTCTCGTAATTTTCATACACGATGACGAGGGTCTTTACCGAATAATTGGTGCTGAATAGAAATTATCTTTTGACGTACTCTTTCATATTGAATCTTTCTTGTATTGATTTGCCATCTCGAAAACCAGGTCAAAATAAGTCCAGCACAAGAAAGAATTGTTTAACTCCTTTATTTGAATGAATTATTATTTCATCTTTTGAAAGAGCAATCAAGTTTATCAATCAGGCTTGTCTATTATAATTTTACAAGAAATTCAACAAATTAGTTATTCGGATTCAATGTCCGTACTGCATTCCATAAATATAGAGGCAAAATATTGCCAATGAACCAAATAAATCACATTTGTTCCTGAGTTAGTCCTTTATGCGTCCATCGACAATTGCTTCGCTCCGATCTTGTTATTATTAAGTTTCTTCTACTAGCATTAACTTCATTTGGATTGAAACCAACATGTAGCACACCAAAATTAAAGAAATAAAAAAAATTAAATCCTTTAAATCTGAATTAGGTGATTCCTAAAACCCTTTATCTTCCATTAATTAATAAAAACTTAATCAACTAACATATGTTTTTCTGACTTGACATATGCATAACTTAATCAAATCCCTCTAGACTCTATAAGTGTGAGACCTTGATTGAGGCAAGAATATGTGAGAATAATTTTTTTTTTAATTTACTAATATTATTATCATGGTGTATAAAAGAACAAGTCAAAAGAAAAAACTATTTATTATGCGTGGTTGATGGTTGAATTTGACTAGAGATGGCTGGCTAGTGGCTCGTACTTGGAGTCAAAGTAAACTTTGAACCCACGGTCACGGCACACCAGTCATGACCGAACCAAGAAATTGCTGCTGCCCTGTTTCTTTTGCTTTTGATTTCCTTTGCTTTATGGCGTGTTTAATGTTCCGTGTTGTTGTTTTTTACACAAAAAGTCTTGTTGACTCTCAAATGCTACGGCGTTTCAGTGCTATTGTGGGCTCCACCTTCTCCAGTTCGGGTCCCACTTATATTATTACTTCCTGAGGTGGGGTCCTTTCTCTCCGCAGCTTCGCGGGGTTTTCGTTTTGTGGGTCCCTTCCCTACTGCTTTAGTGGCCGGCAAGTGGCCTAAGCATACACGTCACTTATTTTTATGCTCTACTTTGTGTCCTGCAGTTTTTCTTACCAATAGCGTTCTGCCATGTCGTTTGCTCAATTTTTTAAGATTATACCCTTTTTTTTTTATAAAAACAAGAAACTCAAGTAATGGGTAAAAGATGACACAAGTTCTTATAGTTTGTCGATGAACTCTAGGTAAACTGGTATTAGCGTCCTTGCTTCTCTCGAGTCTAGACCATTTTTTTATAACAAAAAAATTAATAATAATATGTTCACATCATTTTCCCAATCTCGCTGTAGCAATGAACTAGTAGTATATTGCTGGTGCGTTGAAGGTGATGATTTATAAAATTTGTTTAAATATTTTAATTCATTTAAAAAATTTAAGTGAATAAAATTGAAATGAATCAATATTGATTGTGATTTTTTTGATTTAATATATATTTTATATTATTTAACACCATATATATTTTATATTTGAAATTAAATATCTCACATGAATATGTTTAATTTTAATCGATAAAAAAATATAATTAATTATTCATTTGGCCAAAGAGTGCAAAAACTGACGCTAAAAGGGTTCTAAATTAACTTATATTATAAGAACACTTAGTTTTAGTTAATGAGTCAATAGAAAAATCACAAAATAACCATTAGTTATTAAAAAAATATTTTGGGAAAACAATAAATAATAGAAAAATAGAAAATGAAAATAAAAATAAAGGATGTTAGTAAGGCGGCGTGCCTAGCACGCGCTAAAGTGTAAGGCCCAATCATTTTTTTTTTTTTAATTTTAAAAAGGGTCGAGGATGCGTCATTGCCTGCAACTTTCGGCGACCAATCGATCTCCAAAAAATTAAGCGCCGTCAGTTTTGGCTTACAAAACCAATTTCTACACCAGTGTTACCTTCGAAAACCTAAGAATCATCCCGTCGACATCTAAAAACCATTTTTAAACTTTAGAATATGTTTTAATCAACTCTAGAAACTCAATAAAAACGATTCTCTCTATTTTCTTTATGTTCAAGGACCTCATGCAAAATGAAGTTTAATGACCATTATATACAAATCAATTTTTTTTTTTTTTTTTAATGATAGTCAGTGATGACAAATATAAACTGAATCACAAATTTGGCGAAAATCAGTTTGAAGGGGGAAAAAAAAAACAGATTATAGCTCTAGCGTTTTGGATATTGAAAGAAAATGGAAGTTATTTTCATTTTTGTTCTTTAAGGTTCGTATTTTCTTATTTTATTGTTAGGCTAAGTGATCTAAAAATTTTAAGTTATTTGAAAATAGATTTTTCAACTTCTAATTTCATAGTAGACTTTTCTCTAATTATTTATCATTTGAAATTACATCTTTCTATTAATTTCTTTTCATAAATTTTAACTTATAAATACAATTTCTTAACTATTAAAAACATGTGAAAACTTATATATGTTTTTTTTTTCCTAAAACTTTTTCCTTTCCTCCTGAATGTTAAGAAGTAAGCAATTAAAAAACGTTTTAAAAGAAAAAAAAATTTGAAGAGAAAAAAAATTATAAATTTTAACATATTTTTAGTTTTTTTAAAAAAATTAAAAAGTCAATCACATGTAATTTATTTGTACTTCCATCGTTGGCATTGATAAAAACTAATAGAATGATTCTATTTTAAATGAAAAATAATTAAAAGGAGGCTCAATATGAAATTAAAAATTAAAAAATTGATTCTCAATTAACTTGAAATTTAAAGAAGATTTGTACTTTTTAATTTTATTGTTTTGTACCAATCAAACTCCTATTGCATTATTAGTCATTCAACTTTAAATGTGTGGGTGATTTGTCTAAGAATAAACAGTTTCAAAAATTGTTTAATTTATATAAAATAAGATGACATTGTTACTTTGTGTCTTATTTATATTATGTTAATATTATCTGAAAACATTTGAATATATCGTGCCGACCCTCACTTTATTCTTTTTTACAATATAATTTTTATATAACAATGATAATGCATATGTAATGGGTATACGTGATAATTTTTTATGTCTTTGAAAAAGTTAATGTAACTCAAATTTCTTTTTTTTTCCGTGAAAATCACGTTATAATTTTCTTGAAGATAAAAAAAGTGATGTAAAAATTATTAGATGAAAAGTTAACAACCTCAAATTTACGTTGAAGCTGCCATTAATATGAATATATATGTTTGGTAACTAACATAATTATACAGGATGTTTGGAATTTATATACACGTATGCAAATAGTGATTTATAATAATAGTTGATTTTTTTTTTTTTAAAAAAAGAAATTTTTCATAAAAAAGGCTTTTATATCAGGGAAGTTGATTTGAGCATAAAAAATTCCCACGTAATTGAAAGTATGGAGCCGTATATATATGAACTTGCATACCTATCCCATAACTTCCCTATCCGATTAATATATAAAAAATTAGACACGTAACTGAAAGGATGGAGCCGTATACGTTCTCATTTATAAACCCGAAAAACCTGGATGTAAAATCAAACTTAAAATAAATATGTCATTATTACTTATATATGCAGTCATATTATTAAATTATTTGCACGTAATTCAGAAATAATCGAACCCTATAGCATCCATAATTCAAGAATTGAATTTAACAAATTAGCATTTGAATTCTCTTATCAACCCATGCTTTTCATAACACTATATATATAGCATATTAATTAATATAAGTTTAAATTCACAAGAACCTAATTAAATCTATACTTTTGCATGATGATAACTAATATCTACATTCCATAATAGCATTATTTATGAAGTAAATATTAAGAGCAAAGAAATATGTACTAAATTAGTAGGGTGTGAAGCATTAGGTGCAAGTTACAAATTGGTCTTGAAACGTTTTCATATATATCCTATCAGGTACAGTTTCAGCAAATTAAAGCTTTATGGTATGAGTAAATTACCGTTTCTTCTACTCATGTTACCTTTATCTAAATTTACAGTTCGGAAAAAGGAAAAGATAGAATGTTGTGTGGATTTTTCAGTTTTCATACTTCTTTTTTATATATAGAGTAGCAATTTACATACCAAGAAGTTTTGCAAACATTTCATTTCGTATAAGAATTTCATACGACCAATTCAATGATAATATGGCATATTATCGAACACAATTTTTTTTGTGAATAAAGCAATTAATGACATGTTTCAGCAACAAAATGCAAAATGCAAAAGATCTTCTGATTCTGATGCAGAATTAGTGAAAGTTGTTACAGTGAATAAGCGATCATAATATAACCAATATTTGTAGCAAGGTTCCTTATATTTCTCATATCTATTTGTTCTCTAATTATGTCGTGGATTTAAATCCAGGAAAAAGACTTTAAGAATTTTTTTTCTTTCATGAATACATCTGTTTGAATAAATGAATACAATGACATCATTGTGTAAATTTTCACATAATGTTCCATAAGCATAACCATCTTGATTGTACAAATAAATAAGAGTAAGATCTCTATGTTTGTACAAGAAAATCTCCAGTCCCTTTGATTTAAAACGCCGCAAATTGCATTCCTGTATTTTTATATCCATTCATAACGTAGTATTATTTATTTATTAAATCTATATGTTTCAATGTGTTAATTCATGTATTATTGTTTAAGTTATTTAATGACGTTAATTAAATGATTATTCTAGCCTAAGACAATCTTTCGCAACAAGTGCTATCACTCTATTTTTACCCCATAAAAATGCATAAAACAAAATTAAAAATTAAGAAAGAAGAAACTACAAAAAAGAAAAAAGAAAAAGAAAAAAGGAAATTAGGAATAGATAGGATTGAGCTAGATACTAGGCATTAGGTTAGAGCTGATTAATAATAAAAGACGAAAAACCAAAATAGGTTCCTAGAACATGCGCCACATATGCCAGGCTTGTTTCTCTTTCCCTTTGTTTTGCTTGTGTCCAATTCAGTGATCGATCTTCTGATTTTGTGATTATACCCCTGGGTTTCAATATTTTGTTGTTTAATTTTCATTTAATTTTTTTGGATTGCATGATTATATTATTGATTTAAATTCTGTAATATCAATTATGTGATTAACATAGGATTGACATGATTAATTGAATTAAAATCATTTAATTTGGGCTTAATTGAAAAGATTTAAATTGAGAGTTTGTTGATGTTATTTGACAGATTTAAAATGATTTTAATTCAAATTGTTATATGTGTATGTGAGATTGTATTAGGGTAGAGAATATTTAGTATTTTTTAGGATTTTTCTTATTTTTATTTTTAATATATTTATTATTATTATTATTAAAAAAAGATTTAAGGGTTTGATATATTGCATATTATTTTCCATATAAAAAGTCCCGGAGGAAATGCCGATTAATGATGAAGCAATCAATAGGCGAGCAATTTTATTTTAAGAAAATTAAAATAAGCCAAATCAAAATTAATAGGCTAAGAACCTTATGGAGGCCTATTGATTATTTTATTTTTCATGGTGTCGCCTTATGTGATTTATGATTTTTACATGTTTACTTTTATATCTTACACTTTGTGTGTTTATTTTATGTGATGTCGATCTAAGTTAGTCTAGATGGAATAAGTTTAGAAAGTGAGACCAACTTTATTCCAATGATGGACCTATTTCTTATTATTTAATTTAATTTATTTTTATCTTTATTGTTATATGGTTTGAGTTAATTTTAATTTTAATTTTTTTGTGCTACTAATTTCTTCTTCTAACAAATTTAGCTCTCAATTTGGCATTGAACCGATGGCGTGGTTGGTTGGTATGGGCTCGAGGCCTATGTCTATTTTCTTATATTATTATGGACTTGTAATTATTTTTTTTTCATGGTCTCGTAAGTGAATTTGGGTCTATGACCTATGTTCCTTTTATTTTTATTTTTGTGCTTTTGTGTGAGATTAAGGTTTAATTTGTAATAGGCTTTAAGCCCTAGCTCGTACCTTTTCAAATTAGCTCTAATGGCTCAATGACATTTTAGGTGAGAGATGAGTCTTCTTTTAGTCT